TTGGCGCCGGGCCCCGTCTATGTACTGTACCTGTCCGTTGTGTAATGCCCAAAGTGCTTTGTGTTCCTCTCATTCCGACATGTGTGTAGAGAGAGGGAAACAACTGGCCGGGGCTGAGGGAGGCCTCTGGCACCATGCTGGAATTTGGATGTCCATATGGAGCCAACTGACATCTCTACCCACAATGCCCTCTGCCTGTTAGATGTAAGGTATGGCAATGTAGGCCTGCTGACATCTTTACCCATAATGCCCTCTGCCTGTTAGATGTAAGGTATGGCAATGTAGGCCTGCTGACATCTTTACCCATAATGCCCTCTGCCTGTTAGATGTAAGGTATGGCAATGTAGGCCTGCTGACATCTTTACCCATAATGCCCTCTGTCAGATGTAAGGTATGGCAATAAAGACCTGCTGACATCTTTACCCATAATGCCCTCTGTCTGTTACATGTAAGGTATGGCAATGTAGGCCTGCTGACAGCTTTACCCATAATGCCCTCTGCCTGTTAGATGTAAGCTATGGCAGTGTAGGCCTGCTGACAGCTTTACCCACAATGCCCTCTGCCTGTTAGATGTAAGGTATGGCAATGTAGGCCTTCTGACATCTTTACCCACAATGCCCTCTGTCTGTTAGAGGTAAGCTATGGCTATGTAGGCCTTCTGACATCTTTACCCACAATGCCCTCTGTCTGTTAGAGGTAAGCTATGGCTATGTAGGCCTGCTGACATCTTTACCCACAATGCCCTCTCTCTGCTAGATGTAAGGTATGGCTATGTAGGCCTGCTGACATCTTTACCCACAATGTCCTCTCTTTGCTAGATGTAAGGTATGGCAATGTAGGCCTGCTGACATCCTTTTTTTCTGTTTGAAGTCCGCGGTGTGTGCAGCCAAAAAACAATTCCCTGTGAACAAAAAAAGTGAATAGTGAAACCACTACACACTAAAAAAAAAGCGCACAAAGGTGCCTTGGTCCTCCATTGATGAGGAAGAGCCTCGATTTCCTGAACCCCCCCTCCCCGGGGCGCAAGGCTCATGACAGGGGCAAGGACGACTTAGGTCCCCCCTACCCGAAGGCCGGCGGACTCCTCTCCTCTGGGACCTGCTGAAACAGGTCCACCGAGTACTAGGTGGGGGCTCCCCTGAAGAGAGACCCCCGAGTGGGAGGAGGCAGGGAAGCCCAAAGAGGCCACAGAGCCTCCTCCCCAACTTCAGGAAGGGGCCCCGAAGGTACCCGCACCCTCTGTCATTCTGTGAAGACAAAAAGATCAATAGTGCATAAAAATAGTGCTTACATAAATAAGTGCCAGTGCACAAACGTGGCAGGCCATCCGGGCAGGGTATAAAAATGGCCCCAGACTAGCCAGAAGGCCTGCCCAAGAGGCGTGGTGCAGATAAAGCTTGAGTGCCGTGACCTAGTGCTCCCAAACCCCCCGAGACGCCACTCCCAGGGGGCACCGTACCGCGGGCCTCTGCGCTCCCCGAATCCTCCGGCCAGACAAGTGCAGCCCCATCCCTACCAGAAGGCATTAACACCAGAGGGGTTCCTGCTTACAACTGGGGACAAGTCTGGCATAACCGGACCAGAATCAACCCAGGAGGAAAGGAAACCCCTCCAGCACCCACCTATTACTCCAAGGCAGTGGCGTCACGCGGGGGTTGAGGCCCGCACCCGGGTGACACCATTGGAGGGGTGACACCAAAATGACTCGCAGTCATTTTGGTGTCACCCCCCTCTGAAAAGTCGAGCGCTCGGTCATGGACTGAACGCCCGACAGTATCAGGAGAGAGGAGGGGACCCGGCAGGTATCAGAAGACCGCATGCGCGGTGACGTCTCGGCGGGGTGACACTCGGTTACCGCTCTGGGTGTC